CTTTCTCTCTCTCGCTCTCTCTCTCTCTCGCACTCTCTCTCTCTCTCTCTCTCTCTTTCTTTTTGTGTGTGTGTCTCTCCTTCTCCTACTCTCTCCCTCGCTTAGTTTCTCTCGCTTTTCCCTTTCCTCCTTCTGTCTCCCTTTGCCCCTCTTTCTCCCTCTGCATCTCTCTTTCTCTCCCTCTCTCCCTCCTTCCCTCCCTTCTTCGTTTCCTGCATCCACCTCGCTCTCTCCTCTAGGTCCCTACTGCTCGCTTCCTCTCTCGCAAGTTCGCAACCCATCTCTATTTGCGATTACGGAATACTGAATTTGTTTCTTCTTTAATCTTCTATATAATGATCCCGTTAAAATATTTCGTTTCATGCAAATAAGCGCGTATTTAATCGTTCTTTACGATGTCACCGTCCCCCTAGTAATGGTACATCTGTGTGCAGACATGTCGGCCATTGCTTTTCTTTTGAACTCGGGTGATGCTCCACTAGGAGCGTTCCCAACTTTAATGTCATTAATGTCGTGATATAAAAAAGATATAAGGGGGGGGGCGGATCGATATTAATTAGATATCAAGGGGGGGGTTAGATATGAAATAGATATCAACTCAAGGGGGGTTATATATAACGATATAAAAGAGCTATTAAACTAGCGCGCCTTGGCTGTGCGAGCAAGCGAAATACAGAGCGGGGGCATGTTCGCTTCGTTTCGCTGGACTTCGCTGGTCGAGCACACGAAATACAGAGTGGGGGCATGTTCGCTTTGTTTCGATGGACTTCGTTGCTCGAGCAAGCGAAATCGAGACGAGGGATATGTTCGCTTCGTTTCGCTCGTCTTCGCTGCGCTAGCAAACGAAATACAGAACGGGGGCATGTTCGCTTCGTTTCGCTCGACTTTGCTGGACTTTGCTGGTCGAGCACACGAAATACAGAGCGGAGGGCATGTTCGCTTTGTTCAGCTGGACTTCGCTGGACTTCATTGCTCAAGCAAGCAACATTGAGAGTGGGGTATGTTCGCTTCATTGCGCTGAACTTCGCTGGACTTCGATGGTCGAACAAGCAAAATTAAGACTGGGGTATGTTCGCTTCGTTGCGCTGGACTTCGCTTGACTTCGCTGGTCGAGCAAGCAAAATTGAGACTGGGGTATGTTCGCTTCGTTGCTCTAGACTTCGCTGGTCGAGCCAGCAAAATAGAGACCAGGGGTATGTTCGCTTCCTTGCGCGTACGCTCCGTACGCGTCTTTATGGATAGCAGCGCGCGCGTGCGTGTGTGGGTGTGTGTTGTGTGTGTGTGGTGTGTGTGTGTGTGTGTGGCGTTGTTGTGTTGTGCTGTGTGTGTGGGCGCTGTGTGTGCGGGGGGGCGGGCGGCGGGCGGGCGTGCCTCTCTCGATCCGTGCGTGCGTGCGGTGTGTGTTTGTGTGGTGTTTGTGTGTGCGAGTACGTGTGTGTGCTGTGTGTTGTGTGGTGTGTGGTCGCGCTCGCGCGCGGTGTGGCGTGTGTCTGTGTGGAGTGCGCGTCGTGTGTGCCGCTGCGGTCGCCGTGTTTGCGTGCGTGCTTGTGCTGTACGTGCCGTGGTGTGTTGTGTGTGCGTTGCCGGGCGCGCGCGTGTCGTTCTGTGTGTGTGCGTGTACGTATGTGTGTGCGGTGTACGAGTGTGTGCGCGCGCGCGCGTGTGTGTGGTTGTGTGTGTGCGTGTGTGGGAGGGGACATTAACCTATCGTTGGCACGTTCCGCACAACTAATGGATTAATCTGTAATTACTATAAACACCGTAGCCGTGTCGGTTCCATGCAACGCAGCAGCGTGTATATAGCAACGATGAACGACAAGACAAATCCCCGCGGAAGCTTTCGCAGTGCGGCAAAACGTGAACTCGTTGCTTCCTCCACGCAGCGATAAGCTGAAGTATATGTTAGTGGCTTCATAGCAGCTGCTGCCGGCAATTATACATGCAGGCAAGTTAGCCGCTGTATGCGTGCGTGCGTGCGTGCGTGCGTGCGTGCGTGCGTGCGTGCGTGCTCGCAGGTGTATGCACGCCAGCAGGCCATGGAGATTGTGTCGCATCGCAACAGGGTCGGTGCTGAGGATATGGAGAGCGAAGTTCCCATTGCTATAGCTCCCTCTGATAGTAAAACTCAGCCATTATTACGAATTTAGCAGACGTTGTCATAAAGCAGCCACTGCGCTATCTATCGTCGTGTCTATGCGAGTCTATTGCCAGAAGAATTGTAGCAAAGTCCCCGCTAGCAAATTAATTTTTCATGAACGTAGACGAGAGATGATTATCTAGACGAGACCTAGAGGTTATTATAGCTGTTATTAGTCGTATATCTTCCGGCCGATATTGGATATATATTATTATATCATCGTGGAACCAAATCATCTGGAGATTATTATTGAGTTTATTTGGTTAACAAGGAGTGCGCTAGCGGCATCCATTACCTCCCTGGTTTGTTTTTGTGCGCACAGGAATTAGCTATATATTCCACCGCATCGAAGTATTTCCTCAGCTTCCTTATCCACTTCCATAAGTAATGTAGAGTGTATCCTTTATCTGGCTCTACCGATGTTGCCCCTGTACTCCCATTACAGACTACTGCCTGTAGCGGAAGCGAAGGGGATACACCGGTAGAGCTATCCCGCATCTTACCTCATTCGTTATCTGTTTATTCGATTTACTATCACTCGTTATCAAGTGAAATCGTACCGTTAGAGGGACCGAGTCTAATATGTTGGTGTTCTCAGACACGCAGTATGGCCCAGAACTCTGCCCACCGGGTGATTGATATATGGCTGGCGTGCTATTTCTTAACAGTCAGTCGGCTTACATCACATTGCTATATTTAGTATGGTTTTTCCCGCGCACATGCGGATTAATGATTATAGTCAGTAAAGTCTGTAGAATTAGATGTACCGGCAGCACTTTTAAATGCCAGACTGATAATTCCAGGAGTCTATCAATATCTCCTATCAATATTGATAGACTCCTGATCGTTCGTGATATATGTCAGATTGTGTATTTTGTGTGTCTAAGAATAATAAAAAGCAACTCATGAACAAGGTGTTGACGTGACACAAAATAACAAATTCGAATTTCAGCCACTGGATTACAGAATTAGTAATATAGAAATTACAGATGAAAAATTAATTACATTGGAATATCCTCATTCAGTTGACCATACACAGGCACTCCGAATTTGTTTATATCTGCTCGACAGCGAATGAAGCAGGCACTGGATAGCTTTTGGTGACCACTAGGTAGTGGCTACCAGACACCACGACACCGCTTCTAGAAGTGGTGCCTAGTGACGTCACGTGCAAAACCTACTCTCTTTTTCTCATTGTTCCTAGCAGCCTGATAGCTGTAGCGACACTCGGCCTTACTGCTAGAAATCGACTTGCGATCGCGTTTGAGATTTAATTAAAAACTCAAACGCCTTTCCCTGACAAGCCCCTAAGTAAATGGGGCGGACAGGCCGTACCTTGAAGTGGACTACGTGAGATTCAGAGTCGCTGCCCCAAACGGAGCGTAGACCATTGCAGCGGTTAGGGGGTGTCTTTATACTTCCCCACGCGCTCATGCACGTACCCACGCAGGCAAACGATTCCCCATTTTGATTTTACAAACCTGACATTGTTATTTTTTCAATTTCTTTACAACGTAAATTTCAGCAATAAAATTTTAAGTAAATGACAATTAAAACCCATATATGATATTGTAAATCAAATGTGTAGTGTAATTGTAACGTGTGCTGCGCTGCACATTGTTACACGTCGGTATTTATGTTGCAAAGACTATTTGCCTTTGCAAGGTATGTCTAAATATGGGTAATTATAGTATAATATGCTATTATGAGTTGACATGCGTTAAACAGATTTTTGCTCAGAAAAACTAAATATAGCTGCATGTAGTCTCACCTGACAGCGGAAATATCACTGATTACACACCAACATTAAAAACACTAAGATTTTGTGCAGTTATAGCATAGAAAATTGGATATGAACACATCGTAACATCAATGCATTTTATCGTATCGCGGTAATGGCAGAATTGGTAAACTTGTAAATTCTCGGTGATTAATTGAAAACAAGTACATTTGAGAGAGCCTGTACTATGTCTATGGCAGATAGGCGGCGGCGCTACTAGCTAGTTTATACTATCAAGAGTGCATAATAGAGATTATCTCTATTATGCACTCTTGATACTATCATACTCTAGTCCATACTAGAGTCCCTTACTATATTAAGGGATTCTAGTCCATACTACCAGCTAGCTTCAAGATTACAGCAAACGATTGTTTACCAAACTAATGGTTCGAAAATTGCATGTTTTGGTGAATACGAAGGTTCTAAGACATTT